ACTTTGCGGACCTTTGATCTAAGGTGCACTCGCTCAGCAAAATTCCTGGATCTATTGTTGATTATGAAGTTGGAGATGGGTTTGATGTTTCTTTGAGATGGAAATGCTTATAGTGATCGGGGTGAGTTTGATGTTTCTGGAGATGAGTTTCAAACTTTCGATTCATTGGAGATGTGTGTATATAATTATGTATGATATAATATTTGTATAGATAGAAGTTCAAAAGAGAACCTTCCATCAACCATTGAATCTACAAAATAGAATACTCATCATATTCAAATGTAACCGCTACCATGGTCAAGAACACAGTAGGTTAGGGACGTTTTCTTAAGATCATTGAAATAAACGATTTTAAATACTATTTTGAATGTAAAAATACTTCGAAACATTGCCAAAATTAGCACACAACATACTTAGGGCTTTTTATTAAATTCTTACCATGTATCACTCACCTTACCAACAAACAGAGCAAGTATTGAGGATCTTACCTGGTAAGAAACATAACAAAGATAGAAAATCTTACATGGTATGAGGCATAGCAAGAACACATAATCTTACCCGGTAAACGTTTACCGGGTAAAAGACATTTATTAATAATCATTAGGGGTTGTTTGTTTACCTCTTAATAGTTCCATTAAGAGACAATCTCTGAATCGTTAAGAGGTGATTCTTGTTTGGCAAAAAAAAAAGTCTACCTCTTAGTGGTTCTAAAACCCTCTAAATGATTTTGTATCCTGGACCTCTCTTAACCGTTAAGAGCCCTAATTTCATTATAAACAATTACCAAACAATTATATTTCATTTTGCACTATATCATGAGAGTCTCTTAATTATTCTGACCACTTAATGATTCTGCACAAAACCATTCGGCAACTGCCAAACAACCTAAATGTAGATAATAACTCTAGCAAGTAAGCACTTACCCATTTGATAACCAGCCTGTAACACTACAATTAACCCTAAACCAACACTTTACTCAGACACAGAACTACTGCTCTTGAACAGATGGTTTGCTGTCCAGAACAATGTTTAAAACCATCCAAAACATTCACGAATAGCAACAGTAAACCATCCAATAAACTTTGCAATGTAGCCAAATTGGACAACCATAGCTTGGATAACTTCACCATAAGCAATGAGCTTTTAGAACTTAGGAGACTGGGAAAAGGGTGTTCAAATACATATAACCAATTAATTGAGTTTGCAAAACGACCTGTTCCTTTGATTCGGTTTCAATAATAAACATAAGAGAAACTAATAAACTTAACACTTATCAAACGAATATGATAAACACAATTTCGATAATCAACGCCACCAATTTCAATTAATGAACACAACAATTTCAATAGTCAATATGATAAGCTTTAACACTTTCAAACAAATATCCAGCAATTTGGAAATTTCAACAAACAGTTACTATTCAGTAATCAAATACTAGTTACTAGGAGCTGAGGATTTCAACAATCAACATAACACAACACAGAGAGAGAGAGATGAACCCTAAAAATTAGAAATGATTGAACCCGGAAAAATCGACTTACCGAGATCGAGCAGGATTTCTAAACTCTAATTCAGCCTACAGAGGTTGTCGAGGTCGAGGACGACGTCTTGGCACACGCGATTCGACGAACAATCGCAAAATCGCAGGGGTTGAGGGATCGACTTGGGGTGGGCCTTAGAAATAGAAGCTGGAGTATTTGATTTTGGGCCAAAGATGGTCAAAGTCAAACATCAATCCCGGGCCAGGTCGTGTCGGGCCTACATCGAACCCGGTTTTAGAATTGCTTTTCATAACGGTCCCGACTAGAAACCAATGGCTCGATCTATGTGTTTTGTAACTGGTCGCTAAAAATATCGTGTTTGAAGATTATTTTTTGGACAATATCTTATTGAAATAGATTTTAAAATTTCTAATTGGGTCATTCAAATACATTTTAAAAATATTTTTTTAAAATATTTTTACAAAAAAATGTCATATGTGTTTATATAATTAGGATTTTTGAGATCAGTATTGGAACATCTGAAAAAACTTGAAAAATGTCAAAAAGAAAATGAAAAGATTTTAATTTTTTTTTTTTTTAATATTTTGGCAAAAAAAACTCGAAAATCTTGTAGAATCCTTAAAAAACTTGATATATAATTTATTAAAAAAATTAAAAAATCGGATCTATGTATAACCGGTCCCGAGCCAGGTAGTGGATTTTTCCTTTAAAGTGTAACCGGTTAAGGACTGTGGGGCCAAATCAGGTCCCTACTGGTCCCGGTTCTCCGCGGGTTCCCTTTCAGGGGGGCCAGTTTGGTCATCTCTACTTAGGGGTCGTTTAGTAAACTCTTATTGTGTAAACATATACCAAACATCACTTAATCTAATGAGTGAGCTTTGTAAAGACGGCGAATATTACTCTGTAATAAGTATAGCAAGGACTGTAATATTCTAATCAGGTAAGTGAATGTGATGACTCTAGTCGTTAAACGCTTGTCCAGTAAGCATTTAACAAACATCCCTTAGGAGGAGTTTGGTTCATGGAATAGAATTTGGTGGAATTGAAGTCCATCAAAAGAACTTGACTTTGAAAAATTGGAATGAAATTTAACCATGCGTTTGGTTGATTGGAACTATACTGGAATCCCCTAAAAAAAATTAAAATATTCATCTTTATTTGGGGAGTGTGGGATTGGAAACTGTGACACCACCTCCAGCTCCACCATCCACATGGTGGTCGAGGTGGAGGTGGTAGTTGTGACGACGATGGTAGTGACCTAATAATCCGGTGGCGAGGTGGGGGTGCAGGACGGGGTAGTTGTGAGAGGTGGGGTTTGGGGTACACCGACTATGTTGATTAAATTGGATGCAAAAAGAATGGAATTTAATTTCTTCCATTACGTCAAAGAATGATGAATTAATTGATTTGTGGAATTCAATTGAATTTGGAGTATTTCATCTATTTTTTAAAAGTGAACCAAATAAATGAATTGAAATTTGATCAAAGATATTTGTCATTCTAATTCCATAAAAAAAAATCGAATTCCACAAACCAAATGACCACATAATTTGAGTAATTATAATCGGGTTGGTGGAATTTGGTTTGAGTAATGACCCTAATGGTATAAAGTTTTACAGTGACAATTTTGTAACTATTAAGAAGTCTTGTGGCAATTTTGTAGTTATGAATATTTAGATTGTAAATCTAATCTAAGAGTTGATGATTGGTCTTACGGGTCTCACGAAAAACCATTGGTCTCACATGATCCCAAGTCTCTCTATATATATATATGTGTGTGTATGTATGTATGGATATGTGTGTGTGAGAGGGAGAGATATTATTAATTATAATATTATGTTTAATAAAATCCATTACGTCACGAAGGTCTTCCATAATAATTGATATATTTTAGTTAAAGGACCAAATCTGTAATTTTTGATAAATAAAAGGACAAAAATTGTAAACTCTTTAAAGAATATTAAAGATTTTATTGACTTTTTGTTGTTGTCAGAAATGACTTTAAATAAAAACAAAAACAAGTTCTAGAACAAGATATATATCACCAATATTTTGTAATAAACAATAGATTTGGATTACACTCTTGCTTATAAAAATAATATGCTTCTTTCAAAAGGGTTAAATATTGCTTTGCCATTTGAAGCAATAACATAGATGGTGATATTTGATTGGTTTAAACTTGACTCCAAAGATTAAAAGTGTCTGAAGGTTTAAGATTCAAATCCAATGAAAAATAAAAATTCTTTTGTGGCCATGAAAGTTCAAATGAGGTGACTCCGGACTACCCATAAAACAGGTGGTCATTCATAATACATGGATTCAATCAGATATAATTTAAAAGATTTTACACGTTCGTTGATCAAGGTTTGACAGAAGAGTTTTTTTGTGTGTTAACCATGCATATTTAGGTTGGCTTGTTTGTACTACGACTAAAAGATTGTTTGTTTACCTCTTAATAGTTCCATTAAGATACAACCTCTGAATTGCTCAAAGGTGAATCTTGTTTGACAAAAAAAAATGTCTCTTAATAGTTCTAAAACCATCTAAATGATTTTGTACATTGGATCTCTCTTAACCTTTTAACACTCTAATTTCATTTTGAATAATTACCAAACAATTATATTTCATTTTGCACTATATTATAAGAGTCTCTTAATCATTCTAACCACTGAATCATTCAACATCAAACCATTCAGCAACTATCAAACAGCTCATAATTCCAGGACCCTAGAGAACCGTCAGAAAAATCCCTAGTGGCTTTACAAAACTCCAAACTCAAATTGATGACCTCTAAAAAAGATCCCAAAAACCAAGTATTATTGTCAGTTGAGTTAACCCATCATTTTCATACCAACCAATGTGGGTCAATAGCACAAGTACATATAGGAAATGGAGCAACAATCAAGAAATTTCATATTTGCCTCTACAAATTGAAAGTTTTACAATTGAAGATGAACATATGAAGACAACAATATCATATTTTTTTTTTCTCTATTTAAACATTTAAAAAAAAAACAATAAAAGAAGATAAATTTGAAGCCTTCAAAGGGTTTACTAATCACAATCAAAAAGTATGTGCACCTACAAATTGAAACAACAACAAAACAATCTTCACAACCTCCATTAATGGTGGGTCTTTCTTCAAAAGGTGTTTACCAAAGACGATGACGGTTCAAGCCGCGTTTTCGATTCAAGAAACGAGCCTCAAATGGATTCAAGAACCAATCTTGAAACAATCAAGAACGAATCTTGAAACAATCCAAGAACGACCCTCGAATGGATTCAAGAACGAATCTTGGAACAATCCAAGAACGACCCTTGAATGGATTCAAGAACGAATCTTGAAACGATTCGTGTATTTGGCTAATCGTATTTTTCTCTCCAACTGTACACAAGAAACAACACCCACGAAAGTGCCAAAATGAAATCACCAAGAACGAGCCGAAGCCAATCACGACCAAGCTCTTCGAGCTTCCGCTCAAAGTATATCCTCCAGACTGCCATGGCAATGTGAAGAAGAACACACCCTTTGGCAAAAAAGCTCTGAAAGTCCCTATCTTTCACAAATGCCACCATGAACAACAAGATTCCAACAGCAAATAAAAGCAACCCAGAGAATGAATCAGAGGTCTGAATCAACAGTTGATCATGGGGTGTTGACCCCAATAGCTTAATAGCAGTTTCATTGCCATGGCTGAATGCAAAAACCTCATGGCTATAGAACATCATTAGGGTTCCACAACTTAAAGCCACTATAGAGTAAATCATACATATTGAGAAAAAACCAGATGATCCCATTTCAACAAAAACACCAAATTTGAGTACTTCACCTCACAAAATCTACAGATTTAATCGATGCGAAAAGAAAACCCATTTCGTATAATCGATCAACAAACCTAAATCAACATAAAACGCAAGAAACTAAAAACCCCATATTTTCAGAAACAGTAAACCCTAACGGATGAACCCTAAAATCAAAACAACAAAATCCATCGTCAAGAACAGAAATTGGTAAAAACCCAGAATTATTTCAACACAAATCGGCAAATATAAGCTGAAAAGAATAACACCCAGATGAATTCAACTGTCTACAACCCCTAAATCACGATAAATTATAAGAACCCTAATCAAAGATCGATCCTTTCTTGATATACAACAGAACCCACAAAGATTTATGAACAGAAAGTTGAAATACTAACCGTGTAAACCTAATGATCAAGTGGGAAATCTTGAAGTTATGAAAAGGGTTTATAGAAGACAGAAGGATGAGGATAGAGTATGGAGTATGGAGGACTGTTTATGATTGCCGACAGATGACAGCGATGGTGGGGTGTTCTTAAAGGATATAATCGTAATTATGTTTTTGATTTCTCATGTCGATGATAGTGCTAGAGATGTCATCATTTTGGTACAAGCATTAAAGAGTTGTAATATATGCATAGAGGGTTGTACACACCATTGTTGTAGGAATCATAGCTAAAAAAAATAATGTTTTTTTTAATAAATTTTTAATTTATTTACATATAAAGTCAAAATATTTAAATAAAGAAAATAAAGAAAGTTGGAATTTCCATAAAAAGAAAGAAGAAATTTCTGTTTCTATGCTTTTAAATCCAAAAGTCAAAAGTACCAGAAGGTCACATGTTCAAATCAAATGAGGAACAAAAATCTCCTTATGGCTATAGAGGTTCAAATGCGGTGACTTCAGGCTATCTGCAAAGTAAGTAGTCGTCGTGGGATTAGTCGGCTAGCATAGCGGGTTGGATATCCAGGTTAATAAAAAATGAAAAAATGTAATGAATATGTATAATATTACATTCTTTTAAAAATATATCTATTCTTCATGCATGGTCCAAAATACCCTTTCATTTGTAGTTTGTTGAGTAAGAGGTTGTTTGGTTGGTTTTCTATTAAGTCTTTGTGGATAAAATTGTCTGTATATATTGAGAAAAGTTTATTTAAGGAGCGTGTTTTCTAATTGGAATGAGCGGGTTTTGAAAAAAACTTGTTTTTTGTGTAAAGCTCCACCCTGTATGCTTGATGCATAAGCCACGTTTTATATCATTAAATCACTACCCAACAATCATTTATAGCTGACCGGATAAATTGTGTCTGTGAGTTCCATTACGCTCGTTAAAGTGCTAAGGTAGACGTGGTTACAACAAGGGGTATGATTTTCGGCAACAATTCCTCCAGCTCCATATCGACACCTCTCACTAAAAACAAGTTATTCGTTTTAATTTACGGTTTTTATGGGTTACGAAAGATGTCACTTTTGATTTGTTTAAGAACAAGAGATCCTAGTGACAACGATGTTCAGATCAATGTTTCATTGGCTAATGTTTCGTGGATGAAAGGATGGCAGATATGTGGGTGAATTATAATTACAGTACCTTAAACCTAAATCTAAAGCTATCATATGTAGAAAAGCCAGTTTCTGCTAGGAACTCCAGTTTTCGGTACGTATTGATGTACCTTTGTTTGAGTACTTCGAGTTTGTTACAAAACCATCTGTAAAACCCACCAAACAACTCAGAACTGATAGCAGTGGTTAGTCCTTCGTAAATCAAAATCTATCCATGAAATTAATCTGAATTAAGTCATCGAATTTGAAATTGAATTCTCTCAAAGAATTTGAAAAGAGAAATTTGAGTTTTTATGCTTAATGTTGTTTCAAATATTAAAGATATGCTCAAGTAACATTCTCTAGAAAATATGATTAGTTTCTAGATTCTCAATTTAAGTTTTTATGCTTAATGTTGCCACATATATAAAAAAATATGCTCAATTACCACTCTCTAAAATATATATTCAGTTTTCAAATTCTCCGCAAAATACCATGTTCTGAAATAATAAGGGATCGTTTATTAAACGTTTACCCGAGCAAGCATTTACCAAGTCATATTACCTTATCGGATGAATATGACAAGGATCAAGAATCTTGTCTAGTAAGAACGAAGGCAAGGACCGAGAGTCTTACCCGGTAAGTGATGGTGTCGACTCTTACCACGGTTAACGCTTATCGGGTAAATTATTGTATATGATGCATTTTTGGTGGACTAAAATCTTACCCGCTAAATATGAGATAGTATTGAATTTTACCGATAAGCGCTTATCAAATAAGTGTTTAGTAAACGACCCCTAAAAGCATCTCCAACAGCTTATACAAAATGAAGAAAATTAAATTTTGACCCAATATTTTGCTCCAATAGTTCCTCCAAAATAGAGAAAGTATGAGAGAGAAGAGTTTTTTCTCCAAATATCGACAACACCCCAAAAATGATTACCAAGTGAGACCACTAAGAGGAAACTTTAAAAATAAATATTTAGAGAGAGAAATAATATCTTAAATTTTAATAGATAAATGAAGTATTTTAATATTATAATCAATGTTGGATTCTCCAAAATAAAGAATCTGTTGGAGATGAATGTAATTCTTTTTGAAGATTTTGACTTTTGGTTCTCCATTTTTAGAGAAATTTTAAGGAATTTATTGAAAATGCTCCAAGGTATGATGTTCTGAAATACTAAGGTGGCGTTTGTTTTTTAAGAGGTACTTAAGTCTGAAGTCTGAATTCACTTCTGAATTTTAAGAGGTGGTGTTGAAGTCTGAAATCTGAATCAGTCAGACTGTTTGTTTTTACGTCTGAAATCTGAAATCTGAATCATTGAAATCTAGGCTTTYTTTGCAARCATTGGAAGCTCTAAAAGCAATTAAGAGGTTTTAAGTGAAAATGTTACCTCTAAATAATTCAGACATAAACAGAGCTTTTAAGCTCTTAATTGAAAAAAAAAACAAACACACTTAATACCCTAAGGTCTGACCGATTCAGATATAAGAGAGTATTAAGTGCTTTTTAGGTAAAAACAAACAGGGCCGAAATACGATTGAGGCCCACTTAAATTTCCATTAGTCCGCCTCATAAATCTATAAATAATCAAAATTATCAATAAAGTGTAAACGCTAAAGTTTAGATAGGTTTCATATCAGCGTACTTTGTATCTAAGAACATAAAGTATTTTAAAACTAAACAATTTCAGATAATGTTAGCCCCGTTTATCTTCAACTGAGCCTTGTTCCTACATGACCCGATCATTTCGATCGGACACTCGCCATCTATTTTCATTGTTCAGCTCTTTAACAACACGAAAAACCCATTGTTCAACTCTTTGACAACATGAAAAACCGAAATCTCTACCCTCCGTCTCTATCTACCCAAGGGATGGAAGGGAACTAGATATAAAAAAGCATCTGGGTGATGTTACATACATAATTTTATATCAAAATCAGATCAAATTATACATCCAGAATAAAAAAAAAAGTATTGATGTTGATGTGAGAAGAAAATTATATTAAATTCAGTGTAAGGATAAGTCATACGTCAATCTTTTCATAAAGTCATGTATAAGTCAATTGTTTATATTATAGTTGAAGTTCACCTGATACATATAGTGATTATAGCATAATGTTGTGGTGAACGAATGACCAAAATCTGATCTTTGATATCACTTGTTGGTACTAGATAATCAAAACTGTACAACTTTGATACCACGTCGGGGTTGGATCCAACTGTCCAGATTAATAAAGATATTAAATTTTATTAAAACACAATCAAATATGTGATCATTTACAAACAAACGAATATGGAACAAACAGATCGAATAATAAAGACAATGAATTGAATGCTTAAAACACGAATAAAAGAAAAGCACAAAACCTAAAGAGGATTACAAACCGAAATTCACACAAAGGGAAGAACTTTCATTCACCAAAGAGAAATCGAAAGAGGATTACAAACCGAAACTCACAAATTGTGATTCTAACTCTCAAGAATATGAAAATTAATCATCACTTATGTGTTTCTCTCTCATTTTGTGATACAAGAAGTTGTATATATACTTGAACCAATACAGAGTTATATATGTTTGTAACTTCTTTGGTCAACCATACTACACGTATTTTCTAATGCATCCATGCTTAGACTCAGGGGCGGACCCACTCTATAGCATACGTGCCACCACTTCAATCCTCCATTGTAGTGTAAAAAATTGTAGGGTCGTGAAAGGTGCTACTGTATCATCTTGTTGTATGCAGCCTTATATTTTTTGAAACTACAATAATAACATAAGATTCATTTGGTAGATTTGGTTTGCATGGTTTTTCTCCTACTCTAGGCGTGGGTCATTTTGTTGGTTTTAACTTTTAACGTAGATTTATTATATTTTTGAGAAAATTTATAACAAAAAACTCAAACACAGTACCTCACATACGTAAAACAAAGAATTAACCAACAAACCAATGATGAATTTGTGAAAATATCTGTGTCTTCGTTTCTTATAGTCAGGGTGACACCGACTGAAAAAATTCTTAGGTCCCCCTTTGCCCAGTACTCACGTTTTTAAAACGTGTCTAGTAGATGAGAAATCGAGTTTCTTGTAAGACAACATTTATTCTCCTTCAAAACCGATATAGGATCTCACAATCTCTCGATCCAATTGCTAAAAGAATAGATTTTTGACACGGGCGTGAAGCAAATCTTTTGCGGTCGAAACCAGTTACTGATACAAATAACATAAAGAAATGTAACATCGCAAAAGAAATCAAATCGAATATATCATTCATTCAAGATTTTCTTTTTTGAGAAAGAAACCATAAAAAGAAAAAGATTTCATGCATCCACTTTGATTTCACCATTATCATCTTCTAACAATTGGAGTTGACCCAAATCAAAAAATCCGAATATAAATCTTTAACGGATTATATATATAATTAAAGGGCTTTTAATCTAGCGGTATGTGAGTCTTTGATCTACTAGAAGGTCAAGAGTTCAAATTTCATCAAAGATGAGGAGGGTATATAAGTTTATTCGTTCTATTTACAGCGTGTGTGCATGTATATATATATTAATCGACTAAACCCAACCACCAAGGTTTCTGTTCATCGCACGTTCATGAATCTTTGGTACTTCTTTACCCAATTCAAAAGATACGTTAGTCAACGATTAGAGGCCATGGACGTGCCACGTAGGTTGTTGTAGAATGAGTGGGTTAGAGACGATGGGTTTCAATACAATATTATCAACATCTGTTTATTTTATTCATTTTAAATACATAAAAAAACAATTCTGTATTTCAAGAAAAAGATTTGTGTTTTCTGATTCTTGGTTGCAGAAACCTCAAGCTTTCTTCCATGGTGATAACTGGTACTGCTGCTATATATATGTATATGTATATGTACATGTATATGTATATGTGTGTGTGTGTGTGTTTCTTTCCTTTTTAGTATACATATGAATGCTGTTTTCTTTAGATTTAAGGGTTTTCTATTCAAATGTTTTCAGGGCAAAAGGGGTTCTCTAGAATTGGAAATAAAGTCTAGAAATTGTCTCAGAATGGGTGGATGATGATGGAGAACTCATCTGAATTTGGTTGTCAGATATCTGGTAGCTCTACAGGGTTGAATTTTAATAGAAACCCAAGATCAATTCTAACGGGAACTGTTAGATTTTCCGGTGATTCGGATCATGATTCTGGAATACGATTGGATCACGTTAGAACACAGTTTGGTCGCTTTGGGGAGGGTGGTGGTGAAGTTATCCGACCCGTGGAACGTAAAGACGTTAGCTTGAGACAATGGTTGGATGATGGAAAACGAGCTGTGGATGATGTCGAATGTTTGCATATATTCATGCAGATTCTAGAAATTGTGAATTCAGCGCATTCCAAAAAGATTGTTGTTCATAATCTTCGGCCTTCTAGATTTACCATCTCTCCGCTTAATCTTGTGTTGTTTCTAGAATCTGCATCTTGCTCGGATCCAGATTCTGATTCTAGTCGGAATGTGTTGAACATCCAGAAATCTGGTTTTGAAGCACAAAATCACGGAAATGTCTCTGAAACGGTATCAGATTTAGTGAATTTAGAGGAAACGAAAGAAAGAAAACGGTCTTTCCCCGTGAAACAAATACTAGAAATGGAAACCGATTGGTATAGAAGCCCCGAGGAGGCTGCTGGTGATCCAAGTTCTTGTGCTTCTGATGTTTATCGACTAGGGGCACTTCTCTTTGAGGTCTGTATTTACGTCTGGTTCAAATAAGAAGACTAAATATCGTGAGAAGGTAAGAAGTGAAGGTTAAAAGAAAATTCATATGTAAATCATTGAAAAAATACATTTGAAGATTCATATGTGAAGCATTGTCAAATATGTATTTTTTGGATTTTTTTTCCAATGATTCACATATGAATATTCCTTTAATTAACCTTCCCTTATTATCTTCTCACGGTATTTAGTATTCTTATTTAAAACGGTCCTGATTCTAGATTTCTAGATATTGTTGAGTTATATTGTGGGTTAAGTTCTACTATAATTTGTGTGAGCGTATTTCGGTCACAGTTATATTGCACTTGTAGCTCGCCAGATGAGAAGAATGCGTCCATGGCTAGCTTGAGACATCGCGTCTTCCCTCCTCAGTTCCTACTAAAATGGCCAAAAGAAGCGTTATTTTGCCTGTGGTTACTGCATCCCGAGCCCGCTAGTAGACCAAAAATAGAGTGAGTTTCTTTTCGTCAACTTAATTAGGGTTGTTTGATTGGTTTTCCATTAAGTCATATATAGATAAAGCTGGTTGTATGATTGGGAGGATTTTTAATGGATAGAAGGAGCGTGTTTTCTACATGTTTGTAAAAAATTTGGTTTTCTGCATAAAGTTCCACCCAGAAACATACCAAATAAGTCACGTTCTATGTCAATAAGCTACCAAACAGGTGACGAAATAAGTTACGAGTCTCATTAAGCTCATTAATTAAGTTGTTAATAAACAGACCCTTTGAGCAACCTAACAACACTCTTTAGGCCATGTTTGACAACCATAAACTAGCTTATTTTTGAGCTTATTGAAAAAGCATTGTTTGGTTAGTTATAAGTTATTTCAAGCAGAGTTTCAATAAGCTCTAGCGGCATTTTTCTACCATTTTCCAAATATGCACCTCATATTTTTCCAGTTAATTTATCAATACGTCTTTTTTGATCATTTTACGTTGTCATATAGCTTATCAATCAACTTTTACCAATTATGAAAAGTTTATAAGCTAACAACTAGGGGTGCTCACGGCCCGGGTTGATCGGTTTGGAGCCGTTTTAACAACCCAACCCAATGTTGACGGTTTGAAAATTTTCAACCCAAACAAAAGTTCAACCCAACCCAACCCGTTCGGATTGATCGGGTTGTGTTTAAATAATGTAAAATCACATAAAAATAAATGAAACTTTCCTTTGAAATACGACCGACCAYTCAAKATAATATGCAAGTTCATCAAATATTTAGATATTACAATAAAAATGTTTAAACCAAATGATAATACATCAATCAACAACAATAGTTTTAGACGTTTCCAACCTCGATGCTTTCGCTTTCTTGACGTTGAGGTCGGTCATGTCATGATTGTCATCTACAATTCAAAGCTAAAGCTAAGGTCGGGTTCATCGGGTTGGTCGGGTTTTTTTGGGCCTGACCCAATTCCAACCCAATAAGGTCGGGTTGGCTAATTTTTTTTATCGATCATGCATCGGGTTACCTCGGGTTGGGGTTTTTTTTAAAAATTCGGGTTGGGTTGGTCGGGTTCATCGGGTTTTTGAGCACCCCTACTAACAACTAACTTTTCAGCTAATAACGAGTTTGTCAGTTAGTTTTTCCAAAACGTAAAACGCATGTTTTCGTGCTAATAGTATCTTATCTACTATCAGTGAAGTGTTGCAAAGCGAGTTTCTTACCGAACTTAGAGACAACTTAGATCAACGAGTAGCGGCGATAGAACTTCAACAAAGGATTCACGATCACGAGTTATTGCAGGAATTTCTTCTAATTATGCAACGACGCAAACTGGAAGCCGCAAATAATTTGCATAGTATCGTTTCCGTTCTAACTTCAGATTTGGAAGAAGTCGTAAAATTGCAATCATCTATTACCAAAAAATCTGGATCAACTTCAGATCTTCGAGATCCCCCTTTAGATTTTCCTTCTAACAATGATTCTGCAAGTTCAGGATCAAGAAAACGCATCCGATCGGTCATTCAGACCCATAATTCTGAAGAATCTAACGTTCAACAAGACGGCTTTCAGAAATCCGAAAATCTAGAAAACGCCATCTCGAAAACTCCTAGATTGATGAGTAACTTTCGGAAACTAGAATCTGCGTACTTTTTAACTAGGCGCAGGGCTTTCAAACCAGAAAGAAGTTCGGCTAATGGTTTTTCGTCAAGAGAGCGGTTAGCGGGACGGCAAACTCGATGGATAGATTCGTTCTTGGATGGATTACGCAAGTATCTATCTTTTAATAAACTGAAAGTGAAGGCGGATTTGAAACAAGCCGATCTTTTGAGTTCTTCTAATCATGTATGCTCTTTGAGTTTTGATCGCGATGGAGAATTCTTTGCAACGGGCATGAATAAAAAGATTAAAGTTTTTGAATATGATTCGATCTTGAACGGAAATCGTGACGTTCAATACCCGATTGTTGAAATGGCGAGTAGATCGAAGCTCAGTAGTGTATGTTGGAACCGATATATTAAAGGTCAGATTGCTTCGAGTAATTTCGAAGGCGTAGTACAGGTACATAAAGCTAGTTTCTTTTTTGAGCTTATTGATTGAAAAGCCTTGTTCGGTTTGCCATTGGTTTTATAAAAAGTTATTTCAAGTAGCGTTTCAATAAGGTCCGAGACAGAGACGAACCTAGTATAGTGTGCCACTGTATTATTCCTCCGTCGAAACGTAAAAATTTGGAAAATCTGTTCGAGATGTTCTTAACCAACAGCTAGTCTATCAGCTAATTTATCAAACATAGCTTAACTGTAAGAACATCAATCGCTCATTTGGAAAGTTTTCAGATATGGGATGTTACACGAAATCAAGCGATTACGGAAATGAGAGAGCACGAGAGGCGTACATGGTCCGTGGACTTCTCATCAGCCGATCCCACTTTGCTGGCCAGCGGAAGCGATGATGGTTCCGTTAAGCTCTGGAATATCAATCAGGCAAACTAAACGTTAAACGTACTGCAATTATCGGATTATTATAAACGTCTAGATTAACATCTGGACGGATAATAACTAGTTCTTTTTTATTTCTAATGCAGGGAGTAAGCGTATGTACCATTAAGACAAACGCTAACGTCTGTTGTGTTCAGTTCCCTTCCGATACCGGTAACTCACTCGCTTTCGGTTCTGCTGATCATAGAATCTATTTCTACGATCTTAGAAATCCAAGCGGACCGCTTTACACGTTGGTTGGACATGAAAGAACCGTTAGTTATGTCAGATTTCTAGATTCGACAACTCTGGTATCATCGTCAACGGATAACACGTTGAAGCTTTGGGATTTGTCGGAATGTTCGTCCGAAGTTCTCGATAGTCCGCTTCAGTCGTTCACGGGCCACACGAATCTAAAAGTAAGTTTATTTTTGTTTTCCATTCTGACTGTGAGAATATGCGGAATCTTGTTAAATTACTCTCCAAAACCACCATTCAGAAAAGAAGACAAGGTTCCAACATATACCGAGGAGAAATGATCCAAGTCTAGCAGATGTGGGATCCAACACTGACAATCTTGTTTTCTGTTATTTTCTCCAGAACTTTGTTGGGTTATCTGTATCTGAGGGTTATATCGCTACCGGTTCAGAAACAAACGAGGTACTTACGATCCTTGGTGAACCAGGGTCGTCCAATTTTAGACATTTATCAGTTTACAAAAACAGACAGTAGTCTTATTGATTTTGTTTTTAGAATTTTGCACCACATCTTATCAATAAGAAATGAAATAAGACTTCAGAAGTAAATATTTGTTATAAGTTTTACAGAAACAAAGAGTCTTATTGATTCTGCTTTCGGACTTTAGCACCACCTCTTATCAATAAGAAGTGATTCAAAGGCTTCAGAGTTCAGCACCTCTTACAAAACAAACAACACCTGAAAGTTGAAATGATTCTAAACATGTTTGCAGGTTTTCATCTACCACAAAGCTTTCCCTATGCCGACATTGGCGTACAAATTCAACACGATTGATCCGATTTCTGGAGATGAAGTGGATGACACCGAACAATTTGTGTCGTCCGTTTGTTGGCGAAATCAGACCTCGAGTTTGGTTGCTGCAAATTCTATGGGAGATGTCAAGCTCTTAGAGATGGTTTAGTCAGAAAAAAAGCATGTAGGATTAGAAAATTTCCTGTAAATATATGATTACAGTTGATGTTACCATCATACCAGTAAAATTCAAATGAAAACCAACTAGTTTATGTATTATTCACTATGAATAGTCTTTAATAATCATGAATACCATATATATTCATCATGAATATAAATGGTATTCATTATGAATATACATGGAAATCATAATGAATTCGCGTATTTTCATCATGAAAACACCAATCTTACACATATTTTTGTTACTGATAGATCAATTCTGTAGTACCAAATGCACATTTTTACTTCTTGAAATCACACATCAAATTCCACAGATAGAATATATTCATATATGAATAAACAACAAAAACGCAGTCCCAACGAGAGAAGGTTGGGGCTGCAGATAGAATATATTCAAGTACTCCACAAGCAAAAATGCTATAATGTATGATCGAAACTACTACAAATCTTCTATCTCAAAATAAAGAATATAACCTATCGACATTGATTTCCCTTTTCGGCTGATTGAATCAGCTTCTTTAAAAGTCTTCGGAGTCGTTTAGCTCCTGGACCCGGTTTAATCCGTGTGGGTTTCCCGACCTTAGAACACAAAGGGTCCCCTTTGCACCATCCACCTGGGGTGAAGCTCCCATTTTTTCGGTGAAGTAAGTGGTTATCAATTCTATCCAAAACCCAAGTATCTTGATCGAATTTACGTGCAAAAGCGGCCCCGCTTTTAATCATTTTACCGGTGTCGTTTATATTGAGGACGTGAGGATGCTGTTTTGGAGGGTTGTCCCAAGAAATAAAGTGCATATCATGGTTAACAACCGTAGGAATGAATTCTGGAACGTTGCATACGACCGTCTGAAAATAACCTTCGGGTGAGGATACGAAATTGGTGTAGTACATGAGGAGAGTCCGTGGAAGATTATCCCAACCCCATATGCAATACTCTACAAACGAACGTGATAAAACCATCCAAGCCGATCCTGCAAAAATCGACTTTTTTTCAATAATTGCCCAAAAAAATTCCCGAATGGAGCCTGATTTCAACTGTAAAACCGGACTACGAGGAGGGGCAGGTTCAAATGAGAACCGCAAATATCTTGAGAACCGCAGAACCAACTATTCGTTAATTATTCATGATGAATAACACGAATGATGAAAATGCATGATATGAATAATACTAACGAATATGGGTTATTCATTCACGAATATGGCTCCCACGTTCTCAGAATATATACGGCTCTCATCTGAAACGGGCCACTCTGCAAGGATGCCAACCTCCTTACCCATTAAGCCAATGCTGAAGGGGCTACCTCAAAAGACATGTTGCCATTATAAATCCACTTTCTTTCCCGGAACTCATGAAACAGAATCGACCCAACCCCAGAAATAAGATCAATAGTTCCAACACTTAAATCATATACTACTTGGTTTTTGGTTGCAAACCGACCATTGTGCTTGCGAAAACAGAAAGAGAACACTGCCCTTGGCAAAAAAAAAGCGATTTTGCATTCACGCATCACAACCGTTGCTTCAAAACGATTTTAGATGATAGCAGATGGTTAAAGATTTGCATTTGTCAATAAAGCAAACGTGAAATCAGGGGTTGGTTCAAATGAGAACCGTAAATATTATGAGAACCTAGGAATCAACTATTCATGTTTTATTCACGATAAATAATCATGAACATTCACGGTTATTTGTTATGAATAATACATGAAATAGTTGGTTCCCATGTTCTCAAAATATTTGTAGTTCTCATTCTCTGTGAAATTATTTAACATTTATATAACAATCCGCGAAAGAAAACATTGGGGCGAAAGCGAAACTTACCAGTGAACAATTTAAAGGCTGTGGGCAGAGGTCTATTTGGTTGCACCCAAAAGATATCAGATTTCTTATTCTCGTATAGTCCTGGATCAACCATCAACGGCATCGCTCTTTGATCCCTGCGTATGCAAATAGATTCAGTTTCTAATAGTTGCAAATTTGTATACGTCGAAGTGTGTGTGTGTGTGTGTGTGTGTGTGAGATTGATGGAGCTTACTCCTTCCATCCCAGTTGACTTGTATGCTCGATAAAATTCCATTCTCGCTTCAGACCACGAAAAGTAGAAATGAGATCTGCAAAAACGTTCAAGAAATCAATCGATTTTGTTCCAAGCAGTTGACTTTATATCATTTGGGAGTGTTTCCTTTTGCAAATTGGCAAACCTGTGAAGCTATCTTGAAAAGAATACAAAAATAGAAGTAAAATAACACAATGATTTGCCATAAGTTATAAGAATCTACGGGCTGGTTCAAATGAGAACCGTGAATATTTTGAGAATTTGAGAACTAACTATTCATGCTTTATTCATGATGAATATTGTGATTGATATTCAATATAATAATGAAAACACATGATATTCATGATGAATAATATTCATGATTATTCAGGGTTATTCATCATGAATAACAAATGAAATAGTTGGTTGCCAGGTTCTCAGAATATTTATGGTTCTCATGAGAACTTTCCTCCAAGAATCTAAATGTAGAGGAAAGTTTTGTAGAGGAAAGTTTGGTTGAGAACTGGTTTTCCGTTGAGAACTTGGGAACCGCCACAGTGTGCCACGTGTCCTTCTTCAGGATGAATATTCATCATGAATAACACATTCATGATAAATATCAACGTGTTATTCATCATGAATCACATTCATGATGAATAACACGTTACTATTTCCTTATGAATATGGCACATGTCGGACTGTTGGCGATCCCCCCCCCCTTCGTAACGGAAATGATGTTCCTAGTGCAAACATGCCCCTCTAAATGCAAAAATAATCATCCTACTCGACATCTTTTGTCAAAACGGTTTGTTTGCAAGAAGTAAGACGGTTTGAAACGTTAATCACTAACCATCTTGAGTCACGAGAGGATAATCGGAGGCACTGAGGTTTATAAACCAATCCCAATCTTTATTCCTCTTAAGAAGAATGGCGCAAGCATGAAGAGTGTTCGACACCATTGTGGGCCCTCTATACGTTACCATATTCGCTTTTGTGATCATATAAACATTCCCGACCGTAGCAAACATGGGATCTTTTTCAACTCGTGATGCAAGCTCCATTCGCTCTTGAGGTTCCGATTCAAGATCAAGATGAAGAATGTAATGGTTCCATGGATGATACAATGCTCTAAGTGTCCTCCAAAGCTTATTTAAGTCCCCTTTGGATCCCGAAATCAAATAGGCGAAACGAGGGGTGGATGAACGAGGTGCGGAAGGAGGAGGGGGAGGAGATTTGATCTTTTCTTCGGCAAAATGTGGGATCGTTAGATTTGAGGCGGTGCGAGAGTTGAATAACGGGAAAAACGAATTGAATTTGTACAACGGAGGAAGGAGGCCCATATTGAAACAAGTTGCAAAGAGGAATAAACATACAATCGAAGTTATAGCAAGCGGGAATGCCCATCTTTTTTCGGTATGAAAAGACTTGATTTCTTTTAGTCTTATCATGATCTATATGTTTATCTCTATCGTGTTTTCTTGAATCTTGATCGAAAACACCCTCCCCCCTCCTCGAAAACCCGAGTTTCTTCTTCAAGAACCGGTCTCAAAAGATCCTCGGAATTCAGAAATCAATTGTGGCAGTCCATTGAAGGCTGTTGAACGGAAAAAAAAACAAGAAAACCGGTTTATTTTTCATGTTTATATGCATAAATTCGATCGATAAAGAAACAAGACATGATTTCATAACAGAGATCAAACAAAATAAACAGCAACCATATGAGACCAGATAAAAAAACCCACATAAGGAGCTAATTCACATGTGAATCTTCATTCATAACCAAAGAAACGAACAGTTTTGTGGATATAATCAAATTTATACAATCCTTGATGCAAAAACCCACATATTGAGCTAATTCACATGTGAATCTTAAATCACAATAGAAGTCAACAGTTTTGTGTGTGTAATCAAATCTATACAATCCAAGTTGGGAAGCAACGGTTGGAGAAAGGTAATCACTCATTCTTAAAACCAGCGTTTTTAAGGCCAAAGAGTTGGCGGAAAAAGGGGGACATACAACCTTGGCAAGTACGTCGTTTCGCAGAATATATGACTCGTTAAAATTGGAACCGACACAATTCGCAGAGGCGAAAAAAGGAAAGAGAGGGATGGGCCTAGATGCAAAAACCAACATAGTGAGCTAATTCACATGTGAATCTTAAATCAAAATCAAAGAAACGAACACTTTTGTGTATGTAATCAAATTTATACAATCCTAGATGCAAAAACCAGCATATTGAGCTAATTCACATGTGAATCTTATCAAAAAACAAACAGTTTTCTGTATGGGATCAAATTCATACAATCCTAGAGGCAAAAAACCTAGCATACAGATCGAAAATCAAATCAAATCAAACCCATAACAAACAAAATGCCAACACTCAAATCACTGATTTCAAATCTTCAAACGAGATTACAATCTACTCGACAACAAATCGCATCTCAAAACCACGGAATCAGAGATCAAAGCTCAAGAACAACCGAACCCAGAAACACATCCATCAGATTTCAACACGAAAATCGATTAAAACAAAAACATATCAACAAAAACGATCAAACACCCATCACATATGAATCAAAACCCAATTCAAAATTTCAAAAAAAAAAAAAGCAATGAAATCACCTTGTTTGAATCCGTTGGTTGAGTGCGGGCATCCACGTTCAAGGGAATAATGAGAAAAGCAAGAACAGTGAAGAATCAATTGATGGGAGAGAGAAGAACAAATTGTAAATTGGTTTGATTTGATTTGTACTATTTTTTTTTGTTTTCTTTGAATCTTCATGGTATTGTTTTTGTTGGGTGAAGATTAATTTTTTATAAATTTATTAAATATTATTTAAAAAAAAATCCTGTTTTTTGATGTGAATGGTAAATGATGCTCAAATCGACACGACATCACAAAATTTGCTGTTTTTTGTTGCACAAATCATTTGTTTTGCTAAAAGAAAATGGTTTTATGGTTCTCTTTTTTACTTGAATCGATTAACAAAAAGAGAGCATTCATGGGAGGTCTTTATAATTTTCCATTTTTTAATTTTTTAATTTTCTATGTTCAAATAAGTGTCTATATTAAAATAGAGCAAATTACATGAAAAAGTAATGTATTTTAACTTGATTTCTATTTTAGGTAATGTAATTTCAAAACTTCGATTTTGGTACCTATGATGTAAAATTTTAAACATTTAAGTATCCGGGTAACCGGTTGAAGAATTAATCGGTTACCATGCTGATATGGCGAATGATGTGGTATCCAACTTAGTGTTAAGATAATTATGTTGATATCACCCGCCATATCAGCATGATAACTGGTTACCCGAGTACTTAAATGTTTACAACTTTACATCTTATGTACCAAAAATGAAAGTTTTGAAAGTAAGTTACCTAAAATAGGAATCAAGTTAAAGTAAGTTACATTTTCATACAATTTGTCCAATAAAATAAGACATGATTTTAGAAACTCTTCAAATTTAGAGATCTCTTCAAAAAATGATAATTCTTATATAAACCGTACCAATTTAATTGGTATCAATTCAGTTGGTATCATCCTAATTGATTGACAGTATTGTATCAACTATCTAAACTTGGTTGGTATGTTATATTATAAATCATGTACCACAGTAATATAATACTGACTTGTTTTTATTTTAAATTTTAATATGTTCTTATTTTCAATTAGATTATTAATGAATAGTTGTATTATTTGAAAATTATTTGAATGTTTGTATATTTAGTGAGAAGTGGTATCACAAGTATCAGCATGTTATTTGGATACTCGATGATTTTAGTGCATCTAAATCTAGTTGGTAAAGATGTTAATATAAATACATTTGTAACTTCAACTTTTAATTGCTACAAAACCGTACCAACCACAAAAAAGTTGGTACCGAACATAGTTGGTTTAAACATGGTATAAAGTTTTATGTACCAATTATAACTGATCAGTACATGATATTTGAAAAGAAAAAAAAAACATATAAATATTATTAAAAAAAATTGAATAGGTAAAATATTATATCTAGTGTCAGTTAAGAGTAGATCCATCAGCTATGTTAAAATAGATATTTTAGAAAGTATAAATGTTTTTGTTCAAACAATTATATGTTATAATATTTATACTATATTATAAAGCATTTGACAAAAACTCTTAAAATTATTTTTTATGTATGAAGTACTGTTTATTGATGCATATTACTTAAAATTCAATATTACAAATAATTTTGCATAAGTACAACTTATTAAAACTCTATTTATAGATTCGTGTAACTAACTACAGATAAACATAATCAAATACATGATAAACATTCATTTTGAATGTAGAAAATGTAAATTATAATTAAGACAATCATTGAAATCTAACAAAATGTTTAATTATTATCTTTATAAAAAAATCATATTAATAAACCAAAAAAATTACTTTGTTATTAAATGTAAAGTAATGTATAATACAAAATTGAATTAATGAAGTTACACCAAAAAACGAGAACTATTAAATAGTTAATTTGATACTAATATCGAATTATTATTTTTTAGTTTTTATGTTATCTTCAAATTAATATTGCATTCAAAAATAAAACTATTATCGTTTTCTCAAAACCACATAAAATCGTATTATATCGATAGGACATAATAAAAACTAAACATTAAAACGGACATTTATCTGCTGCATTGCGCGAATACCCTTATAATACAAACGAAGAGAATGAAAATCTCTAAATTTAAATAAATCTCTATAAACTAATTATTTAGGAAGGAAAAAAGATTATTTAATTTATTCCCATATATTGAAATTAAATGTTTAGAAAATAAATAATATTTATTAAATATTTTAACAGTATAATCAATGTTAAAATAATTAAAATAAAGTTATTGTTGGAATTATATATAATTTTATTTTAATATATTGACTTTTAATACCGTATTTCAGAACATCTCCAATATGTATTCTATAATTTAATTTCGAGATTTCTTATTATTAAAAATAAATTAAAATATTATTCGAGTTTTGAAGATTTTTACATTATCTTATCTCTTTATTCTATTTATCAATAAGATCTTTAAAACTATAACTTTATTTATTTAAATTGTATTAATATATAAAAATCAAATGTAATAAATATCATCATTAACTTTTTTAATAAAACTTTAAAATTATTAAAATTCATGACTTCCACCGTATTGACAGTTACACAAACTAGTCTAGATCAACGTATTCCTTTTTTCAATAAGTACGGCGAGTCTGCCAATTTTTCCGACATGGTGGGCCCACCGTACATAGAGCTCACCACCTAATAAAATAATGGCACAATTTTCACTTTTAACCCTTCGTTTTTTGTTCTCTTTCGAATTTAATGGTTCCACAGAAGCCGTTCTTATTTTCATCTGGGGTCCGGTTCAAATAAAAGCGTTGGAACATAACCGCAAATTTTGTTTGGTCGAACATGGAATTGTTTCTCAATATTTTTCTATATGAAACATGAATACCTTATCAAATAAATGTCAGTTTAGACAGTCTGCTAGAACTGGTCAACAAAGTGGATAGAGTGACCAGTTCCAAGAAAACCCACTAAAACGATATTTTTTTATGGTTATTATTGTTATGATCGACTATGAATTTAATACTGTTTTGGATTGGTGGTTTGACCAAAACTCCACATGTTTTGATGCCATATGGACATAACTCATAACACAAATGAAATAACCTTATCTGTAACAAAAAAACAAAAAAAATACTTTAGGGACGTTTCAATCTCTTTAGTGGTTTTGTTACACCCAAAAATTTTGATTACATTGCATAAATGAGATAACAGATAATATATGTTAAGAACAAAATGAGCTAAATCTGAAACGATTAACAATCTGAAACTAAACCTAAACCATTAATAATTTGAACATGAAGGGGATGTTTGTCAATTGCTGAATGGTTTAGTACATAATGATTAAGAGGCTCTCATGATATAATGCAAAATGAAATATAATTGTTTGATAATTGTGTACAATAAAATTAGGGCTCTTAATGGTTAAAGGAAATCCAAGATACAAAATCATTCAAGTGGTTTCAGAACCATTAAGAGACATTTTTTTTTTTTTGCCAAACAAGATTCACCTCTTAATGATTCAAGAGGTTGCCTCTTAATGGAACTATTAAGAGGTAAACAAACAACCCTGAAGTCAATGAATTAATGGTTTGAATCTAAATAAGTTCAACTATAGTTTTACACATGTCGATAAGAAGACCCTAAACACATGTAAATTTGGGCCCCAAAATTTCTGGGGCCCTGTTCAAAATCTCATATTTAACATGTTAAAGAACAATCCTGAAAAACTTTATCAGTAATTGGCAGTACGTATAAATTCATTTCGCTAACGAAGATAACATACTGAACGACTGAAGGTATTAAAATGCAAATTTATGAAATGGAAGGAGATGTTTGTCAAAAGTGGATATTTTAAAGGGTATAAAATGAAATTTTGGATTACATGTCAATTCCAAAATGGGCCCAACCCCAAGCTCCCAACTACCTTACACCTTCCACCTTCCACCTTGCAACACCAAGAGGTCTATTTTTCACCTTATTTTTTTTAATTAAAAGAAAAAAAATTATAAAATATTACAATATTTAATTTCGAAAATATGTTTTAATAAATATATTTAATTATTATGCAAAAATCTAAAATTTTATCTGATTCGATGGTTTTTTATCAGATAATTTTTAATAATGTGTCATACTCGTTATGTCATCATCATCTGTATTTTTCTTAGATGCCAAAATTTCCCGGATCCACATGCATCTTTAAGGCGACGTACCAAACCTTACCAACATCACCTTTTCGACTTATTCACATTTACTTTATTTTCTTTCCTTTCCCACTATCACAAGGAACGTGTCATTATTTCTTCAAAGAATAGTCTATAGTAGAGATGGCCAAACATTGGTGTTGACCTAGGTCGGGACATACCCAGATCAGTCAATTCAAAACTGGGTCGGTTATCGTCCCGACCAAAAATTCTAGACCCGATAAACAGTGTTGATCTTGTCGCCCCTCTTCCGAATCCTGCCCCGTAAGCAGGGTGGTTTTAAAAAATATTTCCGTATTCATATAGAGAAAAACAATATTATATATAACCAGTATCATTCCAAATAGTCATCTCTGATTTGTACTTTGTAGTAATAATTTTATCACATGTCCGGTTTGGGCATTTGGGTTGGGCCCAAATGGACTAGATCATATAGATCGAAGCATAAAGTCCTCATTCCAGATCAAGCTTGACAGTTGATCTTTTCCCGATAAGATAGAGTTTGGGCTTAACCAAGAATGATTTGGGTTCGACCTATATTGGTGTGGAGTCCGGACTGTATAAAGATCGTCTGATTCTTGTCCCTTTTCTAAGTGGACCTAGCCAACAACATAGACCAAACCTATTTTGTACCGAGCCAGATAACTGTTATATGTTTTGATTTTTACCCTGTTAGATGTAGACTGGTTTTAGTTTTTCGAACCAAACTAGGGCTAGTTGACATGAAACTTTACTATATATTTATGTACAACTCGTAGTTTACGAAATTTGAAACTCAAAAACTCGTGGAAATTCCATTGATTATTTTTAGTTTTATATAAATTAAAATAAAATTAAGGGGTTGCTTATGAAATACTGGAAAAGAGTCATTACTTTTTTTTTATTTTATTAGTTAACATTTTTTGTCATCAAAATGGATTGTTGGTAAACATCTCTTACTCAGTAACTGTTAACTAGGTAA